CCGAAGATATCATGAAAAATGTTCGCACTTGTTTTTTGAGATAATTATTATTTTTTAATTATTTTTCGAAACATCTTGCTTTGTTATCGATTTAAACAAATCAGAAAGGGAAAGTTGTAATTGTAAATATTTCTTTTAAGGTGAGAAAATTCTTTGTGAAAACAAAAAATTTTTTTCCTATCATATATAATATGTAGTCAAACGGAATTGGTAGAGAAAAATTTTTTTTTCGCAGATTTTTATACATGGGGTGTATAAATATACACAAATGAAAGAAAAAAGATTGTATATCGAAATTTCAGTGCAGGGCTCATGTTACGCTCTTTGTTTGGTATATCGACTTATACTTATAGAACGTGATGCAATTTTCTTATATATATATGTGAAGGTGAAGGAGGGGGTCCAACGATCGTTAAGTTGGGACCCACCGGCCCTCACCCTTGATTCGACCCTTGGCCCTGTACTGCTTTCATTCAGCTTGCACACACCCTCTTGCACGTTTGACTTATTCGTAGATTTTCATACGTAGAAAACGCATCTGCCCGCGTTCTCACGCGCTTGCTCTTACACCCGGCATAAACATCAAAATCACGTTACCTGTGCTCGAAATTGTGCAAAAATTTTACCGTCAACAAATCCTCTATTCTCTCTCAATCTTATGTTTTTTTATGGAAATCATGCAGAGGAAGGTATTATTATTATTATCATAATTATTATTATTATTACTAGATTTTTTATTGATTAAAATAAACATTTTTTTGCAAACAGTTGATTCACAAAAATATGCAATAATAATTTATTGTAAATGATTATTTTTGAAAATAAGTAATTTATTTTTTAAATTTTGGCGGTTATACTTTTGTTTAGAGTGGTGGCGCTGTTTTATTTTCATCTGGGATTCCCCCAAGAATCTTTTTTTTAAGTCGAATATTTCTTCACTTTCATTCACAGATTATTTTAGTAAATAAATAATTCATTTTTTAAATTTTGGCGGTTATATTTTAGTTTACATGGTGGCGCTATTTTATATTCATCTGGGATTCCCCACGAATTTTTTTATTTAAACCTAGTATTCCTATTGCTTTTATTCACAGATTATTTCAATAAATAAATAATTCATTTTTTAAATTTTGGCGGCTATATTTTAGTTTATATAGTGGTGGAGCTATTTTACTTAAATCTGGGATTCCCCCACGTACCTTTCGATTAATTCGAGTATTTTTTTCGCATTTATTCATAAATAATTTTTTAAATTTTGGCGGTTATGTGTTTGTTTATAGTGGTGGCGCTGCTATATGTTATTTACATTTGGGATTCCCCGAAGTATTTCTTTTAAGTCGAGTATTTTTTTTACGCAATTTATTCAAATCAACAGGGAAATATTTAAATTTATTAAATAATTTTACAATTATTCGACTATAATGTGAAAAATTATTTTTTAGCTTCTTTTGATTATTATTAAACCAACTAAATTATGAGAAAATATTTCCAATATCGAGTGTAGTAAATATTGTAATTATGTTAAATATCAAACACTTGCTTGACATTTAAAAATAGCTTTTAGATTTATTAAAAAAGTTGACACATCACTTTATTAAACGTTTAATATGAAGCCTCTCATCAACTGCATTTTATGTTTATGATTAATAGTTAAAAAATAAATTCAATCTACCGTAAACTCAATATAATAATACGTCAAAGTCGTTTGCAATTTTCACTAGAATTTTTCAATGAATTATTTTCAACGGCGGCATATATTTTAATAAAACAAAAAAAAATAATATCTCAAATCCATTTATTTTCCTCGTAATGATGCATTTTATTTTTAAAAAACAATTTACAAGCAAAAAATATTTACTTAACACACAGGGAAAAAAATATATTTTCAGAAATATGAAATATTATATGTAATTTTTATTTGAATATTTATTAAAAACGAAAAGTCTATTTATAAAATGCGGAAAATTCTATATGCGGGATATGAAGAAAAGAGAAAGAGAGAGAGAGAGAGAGAAAAAAAATAAAACTACATTAATTATACTGAACATCGCATAAGTATAATGCAGGTGTACAAAAAATAGTTCAGAAACCACATAAAAGTAGATTACATACAAGCATTTGTTTTCCCTACCCCGGCAACTGTGTGTACGTATATTTTTCTCTTTAATTGCATGTTGGCATCACCAAGAAAGGTCAAAAAAATAAAGGGGGAAAGTTTAAAATCTTGAAGGACCATCCTACTTTCATGGATTTCGACGCTATACATTTTAATGGTTCTCAATCTTTCGAAAGTTATTTACATTTTTTTTTTCTATTAACCTACTGGAGTAGCAAAAAATTAATTCTTGAAATTTATTCTCTATTTACTAAAAAAATAATCCTTTAAAAAAATTACTAAATAAAAAAGGTGAAGAAATAAGTAATTTTATAAACTGTCAATTGTTCCCTGAAAAATAATTTTCCATCACAAAATCAAAAATAGAAAAAATTTTTTTTCCTATATTTCAAATTTTTAAAGACCACTAATTTGGAATTATTTTCGAAAAAAATCCGAAACATTTCTAGAAAATTTCTGAAAGAATTCCCGAATTCACTTAGGGAAATTTTCCGAAAATATTTCCACATGGAAGATGATTATTCTCAGGTATTTTATTATTAAAAATTTATTTTACAACAAATTTTAAATTAATTTTTAATTTTTTTACTATTTTGTTAATTAAAAATATAAAGATAGTATAAAAGATGGCAAATAATCATAGACAGTTTACTATTTTGGGAGAGTAATGAGAACCTCTGAAAGCATAGGAAATTAGTGTCCCGAACGAACAAGTGCATCGAACCCTCTTTGTCTGTTTCATTTGCCTGTATTTCACCCCTCTTCACCCCCTGAGAGCACCATAATAATTCACCATCGCATCGGGATGTCAGGTACCTGCCATTCCCCTCTCTTTCATGCCACCCCTCCTCTCCCTTTTTCACCACTCCTCCTTTAAATAGCAGCACATAACAAAGGGTGAGGTTTTACCCTGCCTATACAGAATGAGCTAACCGCCTCGTAACAAGAAATTCTATACATCACTAACCCTATTTTTCTAGGATTTTTTTATATTTATTTTTCATAATACTCAAATTTAGAAAAAAAATTTTTTTTTCTAATTCCCAGGATGTAAAATTCGGGGCAATGTTAACCATCAAATGTTTCATGATTGATTTTCTATTTATTTGGGTTAAAAAAATTTAACTATTCATTCATCATTCTATATTCATTCAATTTATTATTTATTTATTTTATCAAAATCGTCAATAAAGTTTAGTTTATAACATTATCAGAATTTTTAATTGTATATAATTTTGTCATTTCAGGCCAATAAATGTTCCACAATTTGTAAAAATTGTTTATTTACTTATTAACTTCGTCAAATTAGGTCAAAAAAAGACTTAAGATAGACCAAAATGTATGTATTTAAGTTATCTAACACATGCTACAAAGAAATTTAAATTTTGTTCACTATTCAAAATAAAAATCGTCCATAAAGTTTAAATTACAACATTGTCAATATTTTGAATTGCATATAATTTTGATATTTTAGGTCAATAAATGTTCTACAATAGGTCAAAAGACCTTACTTTAATTCGTTTATATGATTGTATAATAAAGTTAAGCTTTGGATAAATATTATTTAAAAAAAATTAACAAAATAGACAGTTTTTTAAAAATCCATATTTTAAAAAAACTTATTAACTTGGTCAAATCAGGTCAAAAAAAGACTTAAGATAGACCAAAATGTGTGTATTTATGTTATCTGACACATTCTACAAAGAAATTTGAATTTTGTTCACTATTCAAAATGAAAATCGTCCATAAAGTTTAAATTACAACATTGTCAATATTTTGATTTGTATATAATTTTGTTATTTTAGGTCAACAAATGTTCTACAATAGGTCAAAAGACCTTACTTAAATTGGTCTTTAAGATCGTTTAATAAAGCTAAGCTTCGGATAAATATTTTTTTTAAAAATCACCAAAATAGGCAGTTTTTTAAAAATCTATATTTTTAAAAATCTTATTAACTTGGTCAAATTAGGTCAAAAAAAGACTTAAGATAGACAAAAATGTGTGTATTTATGTTATCTAACACATGCTACAAAGAAATTTAATTTTTGTTCACTATTCCTAATGAAAATCGTCCATGAAGTTTAAATTACAACATTGACAATATTTTAAATTGTATATAATTTTGTTATTTTAGGTCAACAAATGTTCTACAATAGGTCAAAAGACCTTACTTTAATTTTTTTATAAGAATGTGTAATAAAGTTTAGTTTTGGATAAATATTATTTTAAAAAATTAACAAAATAGACAGTTTTTTAAAAATCTATATTTTTAAAAAACTTTTTAACTTGGTCAAATCAGGTCAAAAAAAGACTTAAGATAGACCAAAATGTGTGTTTTTATGTTATCTAACACATGCTAGAAACAAATTTAAATTTTGTTTACTATTAAAAATGAAAATCTGCCATAAAGTTTAGATTACAGCATTTTCAATATTTTGAATTGTATAAAATTTCGTTACTTTAGGTCAATAAATATTCTACAATAGATTGAGAGACCAGTTTTTATTTTCTCTGTAAGGATTGTATGAAAAAGTTAAGCTTTAACTTTATAATATTAGTATCTTAAATTATATTTGTTTATTAACGTTTTGTTCTATTTACTCTAAAACTAAGTTATTGTCGTAAGAAAGACACAAGTTCAGGGACCGGTATCAAGAAAAAAAATCGAATCGTGTAAAAAAAACAATTGAAACTTTTTGCGATTGGCGCGTAATTTTCCCGAAAATTTTACCAACCAATCAGAAAGTTTCTTCAAGTTTTTATCTACCGCTGCTTTATATTCAAAATATTAATAATAATATTAATTTAATATAGTTATAATATTAATAATAAAAATAAAAATGATAGTAGTAGTAGTTTATTATGTTTTGAACCACAGGTTCATACAAAAGAGTCTCGCTTGAGCCATTTTCGTTGCTTATAATTTTCTTATATTATGTTTTACATTTGGTTTTTAAACACACTTTTAATAAAATAAAATATTGATTTGATATTTTCAATGTCTGGAGAATTCAGAAGATCAATACAGCAGTCTTTAATTATAGATATATCCTCATTATCGCATATATATTTACATCTATCATTCCTGTACATTTCACATTCTATTAACAAATGATAAAGTTCTCTCCCCTTCAACACCGGTTCTCCACAGCAGGAAATTTTTTCTAATTGTAATACTTTTTTATTATGTACTAATCTTAAACTGTATTTATTTACTAATCTTATTTGTGCAAAAATTTTGATAAATGGAAGTGGTACTTTATTTCTTAAATAATTTTGCTGTCCCTCTCTCATAGAGAGATGAGGGAGTAGTTGTAGAGAGCCGGAGTTTGAGAGAGAGTGCACATCTTCAGCGCGCAGAAAGGTTTCGTAGAGTTTTAAAAGTCGCTCTTTGTTATTCTGTACAAATTCGAGGTTCCAAGATATTGTTTCTCCTATAGTTTCAAACATTTTTTCTACTTGGGAGCACCAATTGTATTTCATATTATTCTTTTGTGATTTTGTTAAACTAATTAATCTTAGCAGGCAAATTTTAGGGTATCTATCATCATTCATTTTTAAAATTTTTTCAATTAAATTTAGTGTCAATTTGAAAACTTTATATGATAGTCTTAGCACTCCAATCTCCAATCTAACTGCATAGTTAGGCGTACTCCGGGGTAGTAAGAGCAGTTTTTTATAAAATGTTACTTGAATTTTTTCTATTTCATTAAGATTTCGAAGGCCCCACACCTGTATAGCATATAAAAACGTGCTAGTTACTAGACTGTTAAATAGTTTTGGGATTGGTTTCCATGTGTTTAGCTTCATACTATTTATAAGTGACAGTGTAGAATTTATAGCCAGAGACGCAGATGAAGAAGCATTCCTTAAGGCCTCTTCAGAAGACGAGGTATAATATTGCGGAATTCCTAAATAAGTATATTTTTTAACCAGTTCTATCTTTTTGTTACCATACATAAAATTAGTATTTTTAATTGATAATCGACCTCCTTTTTTGTAAATAATAATTTTTGTTTTTTTTTCATTAACCTCTAAGCAATTTTTGATACAGTATTTCAGAAGAGCTCTTAATAATTTATTTAATGCTGCGGGGGAATCCGCAAACAATGCAATGTCATCTGCGTATGCCAGTAAAATAATTTCATTTTTATGCCCCATGGAAACCCCCCTTATTCCTTCCGCCCTTAAAAAGTCCTCTAAATCAGCCATAAATAATGAAAATAGAATAGGACTGCTCTTCTCTCCCTGGAGTAAACCTCTAGTTACTTTTACAGGTGTAGAAGTTTCCCCATCGTTTTGGACAGCAACAGTGGCTTTTGAATAAAAATCTATTAAAATTTTAGTTATTTTATAGCCCATTCCCATTTTGTACAATTTTTTCCATAACAAACTATGCGAGACGGAAGGAAAAGCATTACTGAAGTCGACAAATAATGTATACAATTTTCCTCCGTTCATATTGAGCCGATTCTGAATTAATGCATTAAGAACGAAAATATTGTCTATGCAACTTCTATTCTTCCTAAATCCAGATTGAAATTCTGGAATTAGATTTTCCCTTTCGGCCCACAACACAATCCTATCAGTAATCACATGTGTAAATACCTTTGTTATGCAGTTAACTAAAGCTATCGGGCGATAGTTGTTAGGATCACTCATATCGCCTTTTTTATATATCATTTTTAAGTTTATTTTTCCCCAGTTTTTCGGAAATTTTTCTTCATGTAAAATTTGATTAAAAAGGAGACTCACATAATTAATCCAGTTCTCTGGGAGATTCTTTAAAAATTCAAAGGTGACTCCATCTGAGCCGGGAGATTTGTTGTTTTTACTATTTTTTAAAGAGGAGATAATTTCTTCTTTCGTAATATTTGTTTCCAATAATTCGTTGTAACTTTTAAAAGGGATTTCAACTATTTTATTTTCTGTTTTATCTATATCATTTAGTTGGAAAAATTCACTAAAATATTTATGCCATGTATCTGTGTTAATTTCATTTTTTGTATTATATTTATTTCTAAAAGAATTTATTATTTTCCAAAAACTTTTGGAATCTCTAGAAGATATTAATTGGTCGAGAACTAGATTTTTGTGTGTCTCCTTTTTTTCCAATTGTGTATTGTAATATAATTTTTTTATCCTGTAATATTCTTCAATGTTTTTTTCACAAACAAAATTATCTTTTTTACAATTTTTTAACATTAAATTTACATTTTTTTTTAGCAATACACAATCTTTATCATACCAAGTTTTTGAATGACCTGTTTTTTTATTTTTTTTAGATAACATTCCAATAGAGCATGCTTTTTTTGTTATTATGGATATCAACTCCTCCGAGGTTTGATCGATATTTAGGGGATTAGTTGGTGTACTGCACGGAAGAGAATTCATTGCTTCAAAATATTCAGGGGCTAGATCACTTCTCCATTTTATTTTATTTGCATGTTGTCTATATTTTTCTTTTCTTTCTAGTGTAATAAAAATTGGAAAATGATCCGACCTCGTTACTATCTGGATTACCTCAAAATTTTTTATTTCAGGGATCGCGAACAAATTTACCCAGCCAAGATCAATTGTCGATTTTCCTTTATTTAAAATATAAGTGTATTGACCAAGGTAGTCGCCCGGTGATCTACCATTCAAAATTATACATCCATTATCCTCCATGCACGACACCAACTCTTCTCCTCTCTTATTAATACATTTATCTAGATTAGATCTAAATGGTGTAATATGTGCATTTTCCGGAAACATTTCCTCGCGTAATTGATTTAAGTCACCTACTCTAGCATTAAAGTCGCCTCCAAAAAACAAAGGTAGATTCGGATAATCATTATTGATCAAAGTAAATATATCATTCAATTCTGAGTAAAAAGTATCAAGATTTAAATCTGGTTTTAAATAAGTGACTCCGAGTAAAAATTTGAAATTTGTAGAGTTAATAACAGCGAATATAATTTGTTCAGAAATTTTAATTACTTTATATTTATATTTACGAGAATTTAGCGCTATGAGTAATCCTCCGCTCGCCCTTCCTCTCTCTGCCGTTCTCACTGCTTGGCTCGTAATCAAACTAAAGTTGTAGGGGGGGCAGTATTGGGGGGGAGAAATCAACCATGTTTCTGTGACACACACAATATCGTTGACATTAAGAAGTGTGGTAATATCCATCCAGTTAGCCCATCCTTTCGCGTTCCAGAAGATTATTCTAGGGTTAAGTTCGTCCGAGATGAGCTATGTTTTTTTTGTAGAGATCGGTTTTGCGGTGTGGTTCATCATAGGATTCAGCTTTTGTGGAATTAGAGGTGTTTTAAAAGCGTTTTCAATTGTGTTGACCTTGGAAGTTTTTTGTTTTTTATGAAGTGTGTTTTTAGAACCCTTTGGTCTTCCTCTTTTTGTCCCGCTAGCTGTGGAGGATAAAGATGTGGTGGACTCATCACTATCTGAATTTTCTGCTGATGCATTCTCCTCTGTGGTTTCTATTGATCCTATTTTTCTTTTAATTTCTTCGGCATCCAGTATTTTCCCATCTACTGAAATTTTTGAGCCTCTAATGTATGCGACCTTTCCCTTTTCAGTTAAGAACTCTTTATATTTTAGTAATATTTCAAAGTTTTTTCGTCGTCTATCCCTCTCCTCTCTTGAAAGGTCATTAGCGATGCTATAGTTCAAATCCATTAATTCTTTCCTATTTTGAAAGAGTAGAGATTTCCAACTTACATTACTAAACGTAATCAAAATCGGTCGTGACCCTTCAATTTTTCCAAGTCTTTTGACCTCAGTGATGGCGACAGCTGGTATATTTTTATTTACCTTATGGACAATATCTGTTATAGTATTATGAAGGTTTTCATTTTCAAGAGCGGTATCTGGCACTTTGTAAATCACTACATTTTTACTTCTTTCTTTTTGCAAAATAAAGTTCAGTTTACTTTCGCATTGTAAAACTCTTTCACTTAACACTTTATTCTCCTCTGAAAGAGAATCATATTTTTTTTTAAAGATTTTCATATCTGTCTTTAAAGTTTTATTATCACATTTTATTTCTTGTATATTAGAATCCATAGAGTCTAGTTTAACATTCGTTTCTTTCACTTGCTTCTGAATTGAGAGTAGAATTTTTGAAAGCCCTTCGGGCTCTATAGATGAAGGTAGATCTTCAGAATCCATGTTTGACATTGCACTTTATGGGAATTTACACAGAACACATACTGCACATATTACTCTTAATGAGCAACACCAGTTGCTAAAATTCAGAAGTTAAAAGAACAAAATGATAAAAGTAACGACTTGTTAACGAATATAAGTAAACCAAAAAAATGATAGTAATAATAATATTATGAATAAAAATAATAAAAATTATAATAATAACAATAGTAGTAGTAGTAGTAGTAGTAGTAGTAGTAGTAGTAGTAGTAGTAGTAGTAGTAGTAGTAATAATAATGAAATTGTATTAACGGTTTTCTTAAACTAGCTTCGCAGTTGGAATATATAGCATATTAAATTCGATCCGAGTAGAGCCAGGTGAGAGCTCTGATTCCACCCTTTCCATTACTTACGATACCTAATTCATCTTCTTTGTCTAAAAAAAATTCTTTATTATTTTCTCTAAATTTTTGCATAGTTAAAATTGGTCTATTAATTTTTATTTTTGAAAATTACGAATTGATTCACGCATTAATTAATTAATTAATTTTACAAGAAGAGTTTTGTAATAATTATAAATAAATAATAAACAATAAATAAAATAATAAATAATTATAAATAACTAATAAACAATCAATAAAACAAAATAATAAATAATTAAAAATAAGTAATAAACAATAAAGAAAATAAAATAATAAATAATTATAAATAAAATTCTTTCTGCAAAATTATTATCAAAAATAATGAATTAGAACATTAAAGCCAAAAAATAAACCATGGGGGTCAGTAAGAAAAAATGAGAGCACTGCTAACTAAAAAAGATCAAATTGCAACGAATCGATCTCAAAAAGTGGATCAAATCAGAATTTGATTTCAATTTTTGGATCATTTTGATCCAATTTGGGATCATTTTGACATTTTTAGGAAAACAGTGAGTAAAATTCCCACATAATAAATAGAAAATAAAATCAAGTTTAATATGAATCGCAGTAATATAATTTGGATTATACACTGTTTTTTATATATTAAATCCTTCTTTCGAGTGTTATCAGTTTGTGAATATAAATGACACGAATATATACAAAAGGCGAATTTGAAATTTGTTGCATTATTCATGACATAACACAGTCATATCCGGTTTATGCTTCCTCTCTGGATTCTATGCCCGGGTTTTCCCATGACATGGAATTCCCCAGGTGATGTTGACTGACATTACTTTCGATTATACCTAGATTTATGAATATTACGTCAGAGATTGGACATAATCAAAAGCAGTCTCATAAAATTAGTGAAAAAAAAAAAATTTTTTTTAAACAAAAAATTACTTGATTTTAATATTTTAATATTAATTATTATTAGCAATAATTGTAATTATTTTATACTGTAAT